TGTGTGTGTGTGTGTGTGTGTGTGTGTGTGTGTGTGTGTGTGTGTGTGTGTGTGTGTGTGTGTGTACAGTTGAAACATCCAAATAAATATAAAAAATAGCCAAACCTATAGGCACAAGTGATCCAATAAATAAATATCTGAAATGTCAAACAACTGAACTGCTTTAAATTAGATGTAGGAAAGGTAGTACTTCTTATAAATGACTTGGTTGGTTTGCTAGATTTTTGGCTGTTTGATTGTTTAGATTAAATGTGTCAAACTCAAGGTCTGTGGGCCAAATGTGGCCTGCAACATTTTATGTGACCCGTAAGATCTTCAAAGATGTATTAATGTTTTAAAATAAATAAAAACTGCTTTGAAGCCTGGATTTACCATAAACTACAGCTCCCATAATGCATGGCAATTATTTTACCAGCAAGATGACAGCATCCTACCACTAGCTGGAAGTGCACAGGATCAAATGTAGCCAGCAGCTAGTGAAATTCAGTGTAAAATGTCTTTGTTGCTGCATTTTTGTTGAGGCCCAGTTGTACTGGGAAGTGGGAATTTCCTATTTACAAGTTGTACATTTAAACCAGAATTCCCCTCTTGTGGGAATTCCCTGACGGAAAGTGGGTTATACAGGAGCTACTAACCACAACTGAACAGTGAGTAAAACTCTCTTAATTTGGCTTTTTATAGTATTTCCATCAGTGGCGGATGCTGGTCTTTCAAGGAGGGGAAACTGGGACTGGTGCGAGGCTTGTGTGAAGTGTGTCTGCCTGTGAGTGCTTTGTGACGGTGGAGGGGCTCAGCCGCACCCGCTGGACAGAAACTGTGATAGAAGTCAGAAAGAGTCTCCAAATACAAGCAGCTACAAAAAACCACCAGAAACAGAAGCTCGATTTGTTGCTAGTTGTTTTTGACAAAGAAAATTCAGCTAAAAGGATTAATAAAGTCCCCGGTTCAACTCAGAACAGAATGAAAMTAAAAAATGCTCCCACGGATGTTKACACCAAAAGATCACTGATTCGCTCATTTCGCTGTCAATCAAAAAGAGATTCAGCCTCAGACAGATCATCCAATCATCATGCAGAAGCTGAGCATCCGGGACAGCCGAGGCCGGCCCTCTGTCCCATAGACCTCCAGAGACGCTGAGCATCTGATGGGCGGGACAAAGCCCAGTATTTATCCTATGACTAGTCTCGTTTCGCTGCACTCTTTGCTTCTCTATTGAACTCTGTGGACGCTGAGCATCCACACTGTTTAAAGCACTGTGAAGCTGCGGGAATAAGAGGAAAGCTGCTTTGTTACCAGTGACGAGAAGCTGATTCTGAACAAAAGTTGAGCGCGTTGTAGCGCATATTTAATCAATGACATGTACACACAACAGTATTTATTTGATCACCTTTTTTTACATTTTAGGGGAAGCTGTGCTTCCCTTGCAGTCTTACGCTGCGTTCACATCGAACGCGATTTCAGCTTCAAAATCGCAGCCAACGCTGAAGTTGGTCGCTCGTGCACTTTGAGGTCAGACGCAGGACAGCTGTTGAAGCGCTGCACGGGAAGAGACTCCCCGCCCCTCCCTCCTCTGTCGGGCTCTGTTTAATGTCGGACGAGGAAGTGGCTTTGCTTTATTTACAGAGAGCAAGAGCGTGTCACGTTCATCAGATAATTAATTCATAATTAATTCACCAGATAATTCAGAGTAGAGGCTCACAGCTCGCTTTCAGGACTATTTTTCCAGTCTGATGAGTCGCTGCCACGCATTGGTGCGGATCAGGACACTGCAGGCACTGGATTTCAGCTAAAGAGCTCCTCTCCATCTGTTTCAGGTTAGAGGACATCATTCAGTAAACTGTCCCGTCAGGAAATATGTCACTACGTCACACAGTGGASTCTCTCTGATTGGTTGATGCGRSGCGTCGAGCTGCAAAAGTTCAGATTTTCTAACTTCAGYGATTTGCGCCTCAGCGCRTCGAACGCTCAGATCGTTCAAATCGTTCAAATCGCGCTGCTCTAATCGCGCTTGAGGCGCCGCAGCACTTCCTGACGCTGATTGAAGCGCATCCACCATAGACTTTGTATGTAAACCTGCTGCTCCTTGATGCTGAAATCGCGTTAGGTGTGAACGCACCATTAGAGCAATCGCCTCTGATTTCCATATTTTTTTTTTCACATTTAGTCAAGTCACTCATGGTGCTCTTCAGTGTTTATGAGAAGACATGTTAAAACACTGGTTGTATGCACAAAATACCACGTAGAGCTCAGTTATTGTTTGTTAGCAGTGTTCAGCTCAATGAGACAAAGAACGTGACGTTTCATGTTTAGTCAACGTGTCATAAACATGAAAAGTCAAAGTTAATCACAACTGGCCCTGAGGGCTCATGTGGCCCTTGGTGAAAACGAGTTTGACACTCCTGGTTTAAATGGTTCATTGGCTAGTTGTTTGTTTGTTTGGTTAGTTGGTTGTCTAGAATTGTTTAGTAGGTGGTTGGCTTGTTCATTTTGTTGTCTAATTAGGTGTTTAGTTTGATAGCTATCTGGATGGTTGATTGTCCTTGTTGGTTGGTTTGTAAATTATTAGTTGAGTGGCTCATTTCTACTAATTTTTGCTTGCAAATATTAGCTCTGACACAT